GCAGGGCCAAAAACTCCTGAAGAGCCACAGGATGCAGCACACGCATCACACACAGCAAACGCAAGCAAGCAAGCAGCACTTGCAGAATGCACAGGCCTTGAGCAAGGCCAAACTTTGGCAGCTGAAGCCAAGAATGGAGCTCCAACAAGCAGGACGAAAGCAAGAACGAATCAGCAGCGTGCAAAGCCAGCAGTTGATAGATTCAGCAAAGTTTGGCCAGATGCACAGAAAGACGGCATCCCATTTGCGACACCAGAGAAGCGCAGCAAAGCCACGGCAAGGAGGTCAAAGCAAACCACGATTGCTTTTCCAGCCGTGAAGCAAGTCAAAGATGAGTCTCCATTGACACTGGATTCATCATCTCATTGCTCAACAGTCAAAGTTGAGAAAGTTGAGTCTTCCTGCGGCGGTTCGGGTGGCCTTGGGAAACTTTGCATCGGCAGCAAGCATGCAAAGCATCGCAGCAAACCACAATACACACTCCCAAGACAGCAAGGAAGGTCAAAGCTCTCAGAAGTCAACGAGTTAAGTAGAAGAAAGACAAAAGCTGCTCTTACGCGGGCTCTTTCAGAGCTAAGCCACATGCATGGCCAGAAGAGACGCAGACTCTCAGGGGATACTGAGGGTGAAAGGGCACTTGCTGAGGTGAAGGCAGCTCTGGCAAAGGCCTGCGAAGAAGAGGACAGCAACACAAGCCCAGGATCAACAGGTCCTACAGCAAACAGTGCAAAGAAGCCACGGCAAGCACCACAGGAGCCACAACCTCCTCAAGAGCCACAGGATGCAGCACATGCATCGCAAGCAGCAGAAGCAAGCAAGCAACCAGCGCTTGCAGAAAGCAAAGGCTTAGAACAAGGCCAACAGCCAGAAGCAGAAGCAAACAATGCAGGGCCCAATGTGACACGCTTGTTTCTGCAAGAATGTGAGTTTGAGAAGTTTTTGAAAGAACCTTCGAGCATGCGGGTGCTCCTGCGCACCTACAAGTTGCCTGGTCTCCCAAGAACAGTACACATCCTCACATCTACTCAGAATGGAGGATATGCAACCTACGTGGGAAAGATTGAGTTTGGGGACTGCAGCAAGGTGACAAAGTTTGTGGACATTCGACCATTTCTTGCAGATGGGAGACACAAAAAGTTTTGGTCGGACAAGGTGTCCTGTGGCGACCCCGTCTACGCTTGGCATATCACCAAGGTCACCGCTGTTGGGAAGGTGAACGTACGGTTTTATTCCACAAAGCACCGGTACAAACACTTCGATTGGCCCAGAAAGTATTTGTCAACAAGCCTTGATGTCACTGCGCCACAGGCGTCCCTTTACTCTTCAAACACTTTTTTCATGAGATTGCTGTCCCCTGCTGACTATGACCGTTTGAGAGACACTGCCAACGCTCTTAATGGCTACAAAATACGCTTGGGCACTACCTGCTCGGGCACCGATATAGCAGTGGTGGCAGTTGAATCTGTTCTGCGTGCTATAAACACAGAGTTCAACGTGGCTAGGCTGTAACCAGAATGACTTTCTTGCATATCTCAGCATATGTGTTTTGTTTGACATATATATAGTTTTGTATGTAAATATATATATATATATGCAATATGTATAAAATTATATGCAATTATACGCATGTGTCAGTGTATATATATATATATACATGTATATATATATATATAAGAAAAGGTTGCAACGGTTGCAAGAGTGCCTCCATGCAAGCCAGGTCCGTATTGGGCTTCGCCATGTCTTTAGCGCTGAGCTGGATGATGGCAAGAGAAACTACTTGCTGAAGGCGTTTCCAAAGGTTGAGCACATGTACGGAGATGTGAAATGCTTTGCCGAGAAGCAGGGGCACTGCTTTAAGTGCGGGCGGGATCATACCATTTCACGATTGAACCCTCCTATGCACATTGATCTCCTGATTTCTGGTCCCTCCTGCAAAGATCTCAGTCCCTGGGCTGTTGAAGAACAGAGTTGCTCTTTTTACTAGATATATATGTATATACATATATGTGTGTATATATATATATATGTGTGTGTGTCATGTTGTATGTTCACCTCTCGCTACCGGTCCATGGTGCGTGATTAAAATTTGAACAAACAGCATCCAAACAGCCAAGGTAGATTGAACAATGCCAGAGATGCTGCTTGCTACCAAACGGGCACAAGCAGTGGAACTTCAGCTCCAACCTACCACAATGGATACAAAGCAGTGTCACGACTGCAAAATTGATTTTTGTGTGAATGTTCTATGTGTAGTGTCCATCTTTGGTAGTTTTTCCAAATCCACCTGCAACCTCCAGCATAGGGCATAGGGGGTCAATAGTTATCTAGCCGTAGGATGGACCACTGATTTTCAGGTACTGCAGAACCTGACTCCCAACGTTGCACTCTACGAAAACGTCAAAGCTGTGCAAGAGTTCAGCAATGTGGATGGCAAGCTTGTCCGACCTGCCACTGAGGCATCTTAGATGCGTATTGCAAATACATTCTATATTGTCCTATTGTTTTTCTTTATATACACATATGCGTACAACCGTTTTTGTTGACCACCGCTTCTGTTTGTGTAGTGAGCTTTTGGCTGGTGGGTGCCAGGTTATCAAAGAAGACTGCAATGCTCTTGGATATCATTTTGCAACTTGGTCGTCCATCTCTATATAGTGCCGTTTGCTTGTTTTGAAGGCCAATGGATGCTGTATGTTCTAAGTGCGTGCGTATCAAACCTGCTCAGGTATGGAACTTGCTTGACAGTCAAAGCTTTCTAGCACGCCAGCGCCGGAACTGAGTGTGGGGGTGCTCACAGGTTAACGCAGGGCAGGATGAAGATGCCTTCAGCAAGGACTTTGCTGGAACTTTGAGGAGCCTCCAATCTCATTGCCACTTCTCAATGGATGAGTGCTTCTTGCAAAACCTGCCCCGCGAAGAGCCCCGCAATGAACGCGAGAAGGGGATGGTCCAGCTTGCTTTGTCAAAGGCTCAAGCTGAACCTCGCCCGCTTACTTCCTTTTATATATATATATCTCCTGGTTGGGGTGTGGACATAGAACCTGAAAGTTCATGATGCTAGAAACCAGCAGTGTGTGTGGAAATGTATATTATATATATGTAATATGTTATATATATATTTTAAAAAAATACATAATATATATATAACACGCACCTTCACCGTTCTTTGTGCAAGCCAAATGCTTAAGGACTTTGCTGGCAACAATGTCTTCGTCGATATGTCTACTTCGAAGTCGCGAAGAGTTGAATCAGCAGTTGAGGTGACCACCTGCGTAACACCAAGTCACCCCATATACTCCACACAGCTGTGCAGATATCTGAAGCCTGTGGAGTTTCTAGCTGCGCAAGCAGTTTTCAGGTGTGATGCAGGGAACAAGGATGCCTTTGATTCTCTGGTGAAAAGCGGGAAGGCTCAGGATTATGCTGGCAACGGTATGACTGGCACGGTTGTTCAGGCTTCATTCTTGACAAGCCTCGTTTGCTGTAACACTTGGAGAGAAATGCGAATGCAAGCAGCTACTCCTCAACCCAGATCCAAGTGTTCACGTGCAGGTTCTTGCCATGGAAAGAGTGTCAACAGGAGAAAGTTGACAGCAAATGAACCCGTTCCAGATGGCAAACCTATGCAGTCCTTGGCAGTTTGTACAGCTGAGAGCATGCCATCTTCAAAAGTTGAGACAGTCGTGGCAAGGGGAAGCAAGCGCACTGCAGATGGCCAAATCTGCAAGAGGAATTCCCCAGTTGCTCCACGCCGCCGCTTGTACGGCAAGCAATCTCTTGTGAAGTGGGAGCAGCAGAAGAGGAGAAAAGGCCAAGGTCCGGGAAACAAACACGGCAAAGGAAAGAAACCTATGGTCTCTATTTGGGACAAGGAGCAAATCTTCATGGCATGGGAAGAGGCAAAAGAGGCTGGCAATCCCAATCCCATTCGGGCTGTGGCCGAGCGCAAGATGAACGGCTACTTCCCAGGATGCCTGTACCCCAGCAAGTGGGGTAAGGTGAGACATGACCAGCATTGGCCTTTGCTCGTGAAGACAGCGCCGCAGCTTTGCAAGCGGCGTAAAGAGCTTCCGAACTCTTTGCGAAGCATCTTGCAGATCAATGAGCTGAAGTATGGATCAGGCACCAGCGCAGAGAAAAGATCTCATCTCCCACCACCGCTGGAGGAGGCCATTGAGAGCATGCTCGTAGAGAGAATTGGACTTGGCGAAGAAGTCACCATGCACTTTGTCAAAAGCACTATCCTGTTTGCTACTTCAATCTGGAATGAATGCATTGGGGAGGTGCGCAAGCTTGTTCGGGACCATGGATTGAAACTGCTAGAGAGGGATGATGCCAAGCTGGCCCAAATGTCTCCAGATGAATTGGACCAGCACCTAGAACCTTTCTTTGAAGAAGCGGACAAGCTGCTGCAACCGATACTCATGACGGACAAAGACGGAGCAGTATTGAAACTCGTACTGTGTCGAAGAACTTTGTGTAAGCCAAATCTGTGTGTATATATATATAAAGTTATAATACATAATATAACTCTTGTCCCTGTTATTTTTTGCCCATGCTACCTATGTTCTAAGTGTAGTTTGGATGCAGCAACTCCTGTGAACATCTAGGAAAAAAGCCCAGCGGCTATGCAATGCTTTCGGAATTCGCCCTCGATGCAATGAAAAGCCTGGTGCTCACCTTGCCTATGAACATCCAGCACTCCAGCAGGTACGAACTTACATACAGTCAAGGGCAAAGGCTGCTGATTGCGACCCACGGCTCATTGCCAATTTTGATCAAGTGTGGAGCTTGGTTTATAGACCCCAAAAACGTATCCTGCAGAAAGGCAGCTCAGCACCTAGCTTGGGAAGACAGGATCCACACTCTAGCTCCAAGACCATGCGTGTCATCCGACACAATTTGGAAAGGGTTCTCTGTTTGCCCATCACCGAACAAGACCCAACCGCTTTGGTGGAGAAGACTTCCATGAAGGCGCCCCAAGTCAGTGGGGGTGCTGCTGCAAGCTGCATGGTGGAGAGCTGGAGGTTGCCACGGTCTGTGACAACCCTTTCCTTTATGGATGGACACATGGGGCGCGGTTACATCACCGTGCGTGTTGGATCATTGCCAGAGCACAAGCGCTCCAAGCTGAACCGAGAGCTCAACAAGTTTGTGTTCATTGCAGAGCCCCAGCCCACCAGCCACGTATGGTCCGAAACAACGTTTGTCAACTACCTGTCCTTTCTAGCAGAGGACTGGTTGAACTGCGCATATATACATATATTGTTTGTGTTATTTCCCCACATAGCGATAGCTATGCTGCTGGCTCTTTTCTACTCTCAAAGGTGTTATATGTATATACATGGAGAAATGCACGAAATGCAATGTTCTAAGTGTGTATGTGTGAGCATGTGTTTGTGAATGTTCCAGGAGTTCCGTACTCGCAGGGCACAGTTGGGCTTGTCCGCATCTGCTCGTGGAATTGTGATGTATGATCAAGCATCTGCTCACATGTCCAAGTCCTTCTTGAAGGTGCAGCAGAAGTTCATGGAACAGTACAATATAGAAGCTTGGCATGTTGCACGGACTACAGTATGGTATATGTATATATAGAGGTTACCAGCTTACGCCTGATCCCTAAGAGTTTCTGTTTGTGCTGTTTATTTCTAGATCTGTTCTCAAAGCAACAAACACTCACTTAGAACATGCACAATTGAGTGAACGTGACATAACAGGAGGGGGGAGGCCGAATTGCTTTTTAAAACAATATACATGGCTTGTGACTTCACAGCAGCCTAGGAACTCATGGGAGGACATAGCGAGGTTCCAATCCCTGGCGGCTTCGGGGCAGCAGGAGGTCCTAATGATGCATGGCATCAGGCCATGCACAGTATTTCCAAGAGCTACCTCGCTCTGGCTGTTGGATGGGGGCAGATGCCAGATCTCCGGAGAAGGTTTGATGAACTGGAGTTTGGAGTCCAAGCCAATCCAACAACAAAGCTTCTTGGGTGAATACTTTATTAAATAGTTTTGGACCTGTGTGCTGATTAGCTGGGGTTATTCAGCATGTTTATCTGTGGACTGTGGAGGGCTGCGGATGTAGTGTTGGTGTTTTTTTCTCTCTATATATATCTCTCTCTCCAAATATATATATATATATCAAGGATTCTTGATGTTGGCACCTCTTGACTTGTGGCCAGGTGTCCTATCGAAGCATCTTTGCGCGCTGATGCATTTGCCCTGTCTCAGCTTGGGTCACCAAAGTATTTTTGCTGCAGCAAACACTTTTTTATAATGATAACTGTTTTTCATGTGCACAGCTACCTTGCAATAGTGTGGTATTTCCAAGACATGTGTAGTGAAAGGGGCACCCAATGAATGCGCAATATATATATATACAGGTGTTGACGCATGTTCTATGTGTGTGAATTCACAAGCTTCTATATAGTTTTATCCATTGTCAAGTAAAGTAAGGTACAACAAAATCATTTGGCTTGGGTGGCTGCAAAGAGGGTATTCCACAATATCCAACATCGCGCAATGGCATTTCAATGGCAATTTGGCGCTGTTTAGTCATCATTTTACATGTTTTCTGTATGCATTATGTACAGCTCACACTGTATGCAAATAAAAGTACATATACTGTATATATATAGGGTGCTGTTGCTTTGTGGATATTCCTTAAAGTGTTCTAAGTGAAGTATGCGCAAAAGGATGTTTCTTTGTAAAGCAATGCGTTGTGATGTCATGATGTCTTATAATTACATATATATATATATAACTAGACTCCCGCAACAAACAAGTATATGACTTCACACAGTGGCCTGAAGCAGCTTTCTGGTAAGGAGATGAATCCAAAGTTCAGGAGGCATTGCTGCGAAGTAGAGGTTTCCTACAACCAATCTTGCAGCTATCCGAGCTGCCCGAGATAGATGGAGAGGATCCTGACGGTATTCTTGAGCACATGCGCCTTCAAGAACTAGTATCTTGGCCACTGCTATGCTCATGGAAGTCAGTGTGTATATATATATAGAGAGAGAGTTAGTTCACTGACATCCTGTTGGGTACAACATTAAGGCGTTAAAAACCGGGGTCAAAAGGTAAATCGCTTCTGTGACACCACACTTAGAACGTCCAAGGCTGGGGAGCAGAAAATCTATTGGGTCCTGCAAAAAGAGACGGAGACTAGCAGAATCCCTCTTCCTCTTTGGATGAGCAGCATTATGGAGCTTCGGGTTTGCAAATACATTACGGACCTGCAGGCTTGGCAAACTAAGATTGAGAAGCGGCACGCTGCTGGCAAGGCCCTGACCAAAGCCCAGGACAAGGCTTATGAAGCGTGGAAGCATTCTCTGGTGCAGCGATTGGTGTTCTGCAAGAAACGGCAGAGTCTAGTCACTGAGGCCAGACACATCAACAAGGACTGCATTGCTTTGGACCTTCGCCTCAGCGAAGACCCAAATCATCTGATGGTTTCTTCAGTCAATGGCGATGACTACAAGCTGGTATTGCTCAAAGGCGGCGCTGTTGAAGGTCCGTGCAGAGCCTTGCCAAGTGAGTTAGATTGCCCGCTTTCCAAGCAGCAGGTTGAAACCATGCAAGCCGAGGAGGAGGAAAATGCTGTGGATTCCCATGGTGAGCAGGGTGAGGAACAGAACTTGTGGGATGATGAAGCGGGTGATCACATGATTGAGGACCAGCGCTATGAGCAGGAGTGTCCTCAGATTGATCCAAATGACTTCGCTGTGCTGGCAGATAGTGATGAAGAGCTTGAAGACATTGAATTTCCAGGAGGCCGCCCTCCAGCAGAACCCGAGCATCTCAAGAAAGTCAAGAGTTTTTTCCACAGGCCTGCATGGCGCAAACTACAAGCTCTCAACCTCACCGACCTTCCAAAACATATCAAGGGTGTGTCGATTGGTTGCCATCAAACGAGTCAACAATGGCAAGGCTTCTATCCAAAAGGCGACCGCCATGTGTGCCTGCTTCCAATGAGTGGAACTTGGGGTGGCCGGAGTCGTCTATCAGAGGAGGAATGCATTCTGCAGGTCATTCGCGGGATACTCGAGAATCATCTACAGCAGTACCCCAAAGATCGATTATGGAAAACCCAGCTCGACCGCGTGGTCAGTGCACAATGCACAAAGGCGTTCTAGACATGGATGTGTGAAGATGTTAGCCTGGTGGGCAAATGCTTGCGCATTCTTTCTGAGTAGCTGCACAACAGTGCATGTTCCATTGTGGTAGAGTTTTCCTCATTGTTACCCTGCAAACAGGTTTTCTTGGATGTTCTATGTGCAGTATCACTGCAGCATCACCACCTCTCACCATTGACAGTAGTTTGTACAGCATGCCAATACTTACTTATACTTTAATATATGTTTTATATAACTTATATAACATAAGTCTATCATACACGTATGAGTATATAACTATACACACTATTTCATTGTGGTAGAGTTTTCCTCGTGGTTCCCCTGCAAAATGGTTTTCTCGGATGTTCTATGTGTAGTATCACTGCAGCATCACCACCTCTCACCATTGACAGTAGTTTGTACAGCATGCCAATGCGTACTTCTATATATAGTATATTATACATGTATGAGCATATAATGATACACACAATTTCTTGGCCTACTATTGCTGAGGAAACCTCTGCATTCATTAGAAATACGACACAGGCAGCTTATTTCCACCCATAGGTGTACATAGGCAAAGGCCAACAGAGCTTTTGCAGACTCTCAATCTTGGTTGCCCAAATATGTTTTTCCTACTATCATGTACTGATATGTACTTACTAGCTGCATGACTGGTAGGCACGGATGTTCTATGTGAAGCGCTACAGCAGGTGATTTCACTTGCGCGGGCAACCCAATCCATGAGCATTGATAATTAACTATATAGATCAGAAGTCACTAGAACTTTTGCAGCTTCCAGTGTTGTCATGATATGAGATACTCTGCAAGTCAGCTTGTCCAACCTTCTCTTTACTTCACCTTTTCCCCAGCATGATAGAAATCAGCGTGTACTTTGTAATTCTATTTAGTTTTGCTGGTTTTTGGCAGCAGCATGCTGGAAGCACGTTCCCAGGCCAAAAAGGCACGAATGCAGCATGCTTGTTTTGGGGAAAAAGAGCTGGATGCAGACAGAAAGCTGAATATTGTGCCTACATATATGCACATATATATATATATATGAGCGTGTATATGTTCTAAGTGCAGGATTTCCAATGTTCTAAGAGCAAGGCTTAGAACGCGTTTTTTTTGTTCTATGTGCTGGGTCCTCGGCATGTTCTATGTGACTCGTTTTTTTTGGTGAAAAAAAAACCATGTTCTAAGTGATTGTCCGTCACTATATACATATATTATATATATACACACATTTTTTGATTTGATTAATCCATATGTCTTAAGTCCCTTTGCAGACGCGGATCCTGCTCCGGTCCGGTCGGGAGGTAGAGGATGCAATTTTGTAAGCCCGCTACTTCAATTTTGCTGCGAGTCCACAAAAGCATGCTCGTCACCTCCAGTGCATCCGGATGGCGCATGATAGCACCCTTCATCAACCGTTCCGGCTCTCACCTTTGCCTCATGGATCGTTTTTTGCCACGCATTGTTTTCCACTCCTTTTCATAATCCTCTCGCGTCACGCTTTCTTCTCAAAGTTTTTTCACTCTTATCTGCTGGCAAAGCGTTTGTGCAAACTCGATAATATGTTATCTTCTCTATGTTTGTTTCCTTTGCTTAAGTCACTTTTGTGGGCCTCCCCTTCCTGCTCCGCGGACTTTGGCCGGTTTCATCCACTTGCTCACCTGCCATGGCTAGCTTTGATTCCGCCTTTGTTGGCCTCAAGTTCCCACTCATGCCCCCATGCTCTCTCATGTGTGAAGCGGCTGCTTGTTTAGCCAGAGACTCACAATAGGTTTAATGTTCAACTAAATTTGATTAGTAGCAAGAAGCTACCAGGTGGAGGCCATCGCTATTAGGTTGGAGGCTATCGCTAGTAGTAGCAAGAAGTTACTAGTACCTCCTGAGTGACAGGATCCTGACAGGCCACTCTTTTCGCTTCGGATGCTCAAAGCGGCAAGATAAGGCAAAATTGGCAACTAGTGCGAAGCGGGGTCGGAGGAAGCACGAGGTCAAGGTGAACAGACAAGGAAAAGGGGAAAGGAAGGAAGAAGGTCACAGAAGGGGCGGCCACGAGGGAAGTGATGAGCAATGTGGGAACATGTGGGAGTGGAGAGAGGGAGGGACTACAAAGAGGAGGGCGAGGTAAGGCGGGGGAGGGACAGGAAGCATGAGAATATGTTCTAAAAGAAAAATCGAACAGTCTAAAAGAAAAACGAATGCGACTGGGAAACAACAGACGAGAATTGAAGAGGAAACATACAACATTCAATGCGACACCGAGCGAGAGAGAGAGAGAGATAGAACATGTTGTGTGAAGAGGGTGTCGTCGAATCAGTGCGCGCAGAGGGGTTACTATATATATATATATATAGAAAATTTCACTTTTTCCTCGACGGACGCTTTACAAACAAATGGAAACACAAAGAGGAAAATAATTGTTTCTTGGCTTATTGCATTCATGGATCATAACCCTCAAGCTTGGAAATTGTAAAACCTGTACTATGCATCAAGACATGGGAGCCCATGAAATTCACACATAAAGTGCTTTGAAGCAATCGTCACTGGAGTCGAGCTGGGGCTTGGCTTTACTTTTGCATTGGCATTAATGACGTGAAGGACATTTGACGTTCTACCTTGTTTTTGCTCCAAAAGCCAAGTGGTACAGGTCAAGAAACACTTGTAGTTGGTTGTGAAGAAGGAAACGTCAGGTCGCACGATTGTGCAGCTAGAGCTCTTAGTTGCTTTCCTTGTCAACTTTGACAACAATTCATATCACGAAAGGTAGCCTGCTTGCCGTGGTGGTTGGTGGTGCTTTGCTGCAGCTGCTGCTGCTTGCTGCTGATTCGAGCTGCTTCGCTGCTGCTTTGCTACTGCCGCTGGTTTTGCTGCTGCTGATGCTGCTGCTTCTGCTGCCTGCTGGCTGCTGGTCTGCTGCTTGCTTTCCTTCTTGCTTTCCTGCTGCTGCTGATCAACACAAAGAGACATCAGGTAGAGCAACACTTTGGATTGAAGAGTGTAGTAGACTAGTAGAGAGAGGTTTATAATAACAGATGCACAGGCATGGTTACTGGTTGACAGGTTCTTCCGCTCCGGGGTTTGTCGAAGGCTTAAGAGGCACAGAGCAGATGGTGGGAACATGGCCAGCTGGGACACCTTGTGCAACCATTTCAACCCACAAACTACTGTGTGCCATTTTGAAGCTGTATCCTGGCAGCACAGGGTCAATGTAGACCCAAAGTACTGCCACAACAATACAACTGAAATGCGTTGATCCTGGGTAGTAACAGCCCCGTCCACGCCCGTCCACCCCCCGTGCGCCGTTCCATCTCCCTGTCCATCCCGTCCGCCCTTCGCACCCCTCCATCTTCCATCCACGCCCCCATCCATGCCCTTCTAGGAAGCATGGAGCAGCATCAGCCACCTCCATGCTTCGTTCCAACCATCATTTTGCAAGACTTGCTTGGTTTTTGCACTGTTTGCTTTGACGGCGCGCAGTTTTTTTGAGGTTCTTGCACATTGCGAAACTCTCCTACAGTTCAAGGAGACATGCTAGGACAAAAATTATTCTGGCTGCAATTGGAACCAAGTGCTTGGCAGAAGTGAGCAGCCTTCGTGTGATTGTCAGTGGGCACTCCGGCAGCATTGCTTTTTAAAGGAACTGAAGGGCCAAGGCACTCGTTCTGTTTCGATTATGGTTGCCAAGGTAGTTCAGGCAATTTTGAGTCAGTTTTGATACATGTCATTTAGAACATGCACGGGTGCATTTGCAGCCAAGCTTGTCTGAACCCGCCGGCCCCGCTTTGCAGTTCACTCGTTTGCAATGCAAAACTACAATTATTCATGTTTTTCATGTGCTTCATCCTCATCATCCTCATCTTCATCCTCATGTTTATCCTGATCCTATTTCTTTTGTTCTCCCTCATCCGTGATTCTCATGCGTCCTCTCTTTGCCCATCTTCCTTTTTATCCAACTGCTCATCGGCCTTAAACCTGCCAGCCCTGATGTTCTCACCCTTGAAGCGGTTTTGTGTCCACCCGCGGTATACTTAAGCTGGTTTACGCTGTGGTCGATGATGCGCACATCAGAAGAATTGTGCCAAGAGCGTTGCAAGGAATTAATAGTCAGTTTGGTCGACTTCACCTCAGTGTCACTTGTGCGCACACTGAAACTATATAACTTAGTGTATATATATGTATACAGTATAGATTTGTTTTGATTACTAAAATTTTAAGGAGTTGACATCACATGGATTCTTTGGAGGCAGGTTACTCGGCTCAAAGACATACCACCATGCCCGGCAGAGGGAAAAGGAAAGCCGATCCACTGGCTGGCAGCGCAAATGGCAGCGTCCAAAAGAAAACCAAATCTGAAGGCTCCATGCAATGCTCTGATGGGAAAAATGGTCTGTCAGAGCGGCGATTGAAACAATATTCCGTCGGAAAATCTGGACGAGTCCCGTTGACGGTCGGCATCACAGGAGCTCGAGCAGACGATGTGCTGCGTGGTGTGGAGGAAGCGAGTAGTGGTGATGTTGCCAATGTAGTCTTGCGCATCCACTCTGGGGTGGTGTCGGCGCCTTCGATCATTCGGCGCAGTGTTGAGGCGGAAGTGGGCCGAGATGCACTGGTGGAAACGGTGGCCAAGCACTTTTCAATTTCCAAGGCCCAGGCAGAGCTTCGTTATGACGACTTCCCAACGACCGAGGCTCCGAATCATCAGCCACTGGGTTCCGGTTGCTGTCATGGCATTGAGGAAGAATGCAACTGTCCTCCAGCGGCCACATTTGTGATTGTGTGCCAAGGAGTGCACACAGGTTTTGGACGGACAATGCAAGCCATAGGTTTTGAACTGTGTTTGTTTGTTTGTTTGTTTGGGAGGAACATATGAGGGGAGGACAGTTCCAGGCCATGCATTTCGACAAGTGAAAGGCCCGTTGAAGGCATCAACAGGGTTCTGAAATCAGGATCCATTGAGGGCATGGGGCTCACGGGACCATTTCTCTTGGCGGGAAGGAGTGTGGCAGTCCTTTGCTGAACAGCATGGCCACGGCTCCGAGATGCAGCGGCTCAGCAGTCCTCGGTGGAGCAAGTTGGAAAGGGCAGGTTTGGATTTTGGCAAAGGGCAAGTAGTGAACCTCCTGTTGCAGAGGGGGTGTGCGGGTGTACGGGGACTATGGAGTTTGACGGAGATTGTTTGCCTTGATTGATCTCTGGATCCACAGCTATGATCCCATGCTGCTGAGGGCCATGGTCGAGGAGCGACGTGTCGTTTGCTGGCGTGATGTGTTGCAGCTCATGTATACACCTGGCTTGCCAGAGGTGGGGGTTGTGCAGGGGTCCAAAAAAAGAGCAGGGCTTTCATTTGCGCAAATTTTTGTGAGAAGAATCAGGCTTTCAGGAACCCCTTGTCAATGTCCTTTTTCACGTGCCCGTTCCATCCTTCGATTCAGGGGAAGAAACTCATCCTTCGTCCCCGTCTCTTTGAGCTGGTTGCTGGACCACAAATTCTCTCGGTGGTGGATGAAAAGGAGGACGTCTTGGACGTGGTGAAGATCTTTGGAGGTCGGGGAGCATTGAATCCCACTGGTTTTCGTGTTTTCGAGTTCTTGGATCTTCTTTGAATTGGCTACTTCGCGATGAACAGAAGGTTTGGGCAGGCCACCTCTACATTTGAGGCTAAACATGGAGGAACATATTGACCACCATGCATATGTTACATATGATGTGCAGGCCTTATCTTCTCCTTCCCTTGAAATGCCCCGGATCATTTCTATCTATATGCGTTTGTGGGTCTTGACGACTGGAGCCGATGGGGCCAGGTGAGGGACCGGCGCTGATGTTACGGCTCTCTGGCCGAGTGATGCGGGTGCCGTGCGGCTCCTCTCGAGCTTATCAGGTAGACGTGGAGACAATTAGAGAGGCGGTGAAGGGCCTCGTGGTCGGAACTGATGAGCCTGAGTTGAGCTACACCGGGAAACTCAAAGTTTTTCTTTGTATTTTCGAGTGCCTCTTTGTGAAAAGAGGTGTTCTTGTAAGGAGCACATCCCATGGGTTTCAACTATATATATATATATACACATACCAATGTTAATAGCATTTTGACAATGATTTTTAGAATGGTTAATGGATCGAGGAGCAACTTCACCACTGCTTGACTCAGCTCCAACCTTTGAGCCTGGGAGCTTTGAAGAGCAGCTTGCAGAAAGTCATTCGCTTCCATGCCAAAGACGTTCTAGTGGAAGGCAAGGTGCTCCAAAGACATCAGCAGTTGGAGTGATTGACAGTTTGTTTGTCTTTTTTTACCTTTTGTTTTTATCTACATCTCCCACTCCCCATATCCCTGTGAGAACACAATCTTTATGGACTTTAGTACAGGATGTGCACAGCATTTATCTTACACACCTGTTCTGATCCTCTGCCACCATGGTAGGCAAGCTCATCCCGGCTCCGGTGGTTGCAGCTGCCTCAGCCGCCCTGCTCTTTGCATCGAAGGGTGGTTTTTCACCGGAGCTTCAGCTATTTACCCGTGGTGCCACTGCAGCTTTCAAGCGTTTGGCTGTGATTCTGCTGGAAGATGCATGGATTGAAGAAGACAACATGGCCTCTTCGTTGGAAGGTCTCCTGGCTCTGGGTTTAGTGACTCAGCAGATGAACGACTACGAACCCTCACATCACCTCATCATCTCATCCATGCGGATTGCCGCGAAGGCCGCGATGTCGTGCAGCTTGATTGCCTGGCGCAAAGGAAAGCAGGGTCCTTCAAGCATCAAGGCGACGAATAGAATAGCTTGGGTACAGTACATGCTTTTTGGATCTCAATTTGAAGAGTTGAAAGATAGATGTGATGAGTTCTTTTTTAAAACCAATCTATCTGCAGGTGCTCGAATGTGAGGCAAGGTCCTTCCAGACTTCGGCTCAACTCTTAAGAGACCTCCGAAGCTTTGCCGGTGACATGCAGATGTTTGATCAGGCAGGACAGCAGGATTGCAGACTTTGCAAGTGAATCGGAAGAGCAGTGCTTTACACCTTTCATCATTTCACCACTTTCCCAACTCTTCTTCCAAGGGTTTTACCAAGAAGCACAGAGCAAAGTCACAACGTCACCATGATTTCATTGCAATGTATTTGACCCAGTTTGAGGTGTCTGAAAGTAGCAAGTCTGGTAAGCTGGAGATGCTGCATGCACATGGACGTCCTGATATTATGCCTCTTTGCCACATCGTCGACCAGCATACGTTCCGCGGAGTTGGTCATGTGCTCGGCGCTGGGTCAGGAGCCACGTTTGCTGATCGCTTTCATCTCCTGTTTGATCAGTGCACCGGCTGCAACCCCAGATTCTCAGACCTTGCTGGTTTTGAATCAAGACCTGAAGTTCAGCGTGCTCGTTTTGCACAAAACTGTTGCCTGAACTTTGCCCTGCAGAAACCTCGGAATGCATTGCCACTGATCTCTGATGGCACTCCAGTGAGTCTAGAGCTAGACACAGGGGTGCTGGCTGCAGGCGTTGGGCCAATTTCGGTGCACGTGAATGCGGGGTCCAAGCGCAAAAAGGAACTTTTAGTTTTGCTTGGACTGAGATGCCCAGAAGATGAGGTAGTGATGCTGAAACCCGTTAGAGCAACCAGAGATTTGTTCGGTGAACTTACAGAGAAAGAGCGTGCAGATGCAGTCACTTTAGCCCGTTCGCACAGCCATCGTGTGGTGTCTCCCTTGCTGCCAAGCAGCAAAGAAGCCCAGTTTCGTGACGGAATGTGGGAGGTAGATGGATGCAAATGGGCAGACCTAGTCAGCCAAGGAGTCAAGGTCAAAATACCGCTGGTTTGCCCACCGCGCTGGTGTGACGACCTGTTGAAGAACCCCAGCAGAGTGTGTGATTTGCTTGATGATGATGGTGCTTTAGAAGATGCTCTCCGAAGTACAGGTGCTGGAATGATTGCAGATTCAGACAAAATTGTGATGTGCATGACCTGTTCACTTCCACACGGAATCTCCCTTCGAGCAGTAGCACTTTTGCGACAGCAGTATGCCTGCATTTCTATGCCTACTCCATCTCTGCAAGGAGGTTTGGTGTCTGTTCCTTGGTGAAAAGCAGCGGTCCCTGCTAAAGTGCTGCTTCTCTTCAGTTCCCCGACCCATTTCTTCCCACGCCCCTTCCTAGTTGGTGGAGTGAACGAAGGAGACCTTAACCCACTAAATACTTACATGTGACCTTGGTTACATGGGCAACTTCTTGGAGGGACTTTGTGTGTCTAACGCAAGAGAGTTTGAGGCAATAACAGGTCTGTGATGTCCTTAGATGTCCTGGGTTTGACCAGGATCAGCTCGCGGCCTATGATGGGGATTGGAAGGTCTACCGGCTTTTGGCACTGATTTCGCGCCTAGTGCCCGCAGCCCTAAGGCCGACCATGCCACCCAACTTTCAGGTGAGGTGGGTTTGTGTTAGCTTTGGTCATCCTGCCGAGGATCCGCAGTTATATAGAATTGAGCAAACAAGCCGCTCTAAAATACAATGATAAGGTTTTCTGGCTGGATGATTCTATCTGCTGCATGATGGCTACAGTTTCTGTTAATCAAAAGTGTTCTCTTCGGCCTCCATCACCTTCCTGTCGGCTTTTGCAGAAAGGCCGTGAAAGGCCTAAGTCTTAGGGTCAGAGGAATGGATCATCTCCAACAATTCGAGAGGTAGAAAAGCTCTGAGGCACACCAAGTGTATAGTACCATGCTGGTAGCTTAGAACAACTGTGAAAGACCTTCATTCTTCCGTTCTATTTCATGAAATTCCTGACGCCACCACTGAGCTCCCCTTTTTAGGTGGTGAACTCCATCCTCCTGCGAGTTGTTGAGAAGTGGATGATGGAGGGCATCCAAAGCCGCCCAGCTGACCTCCACCTGCCACGGTCCGTTGGTCTAGAAACGGTGGGGCGGTGGGAGGAGGTGCAGAAGTGCCTGGAGCAAGTGGCGGAACTCATGGAACATCAACGTGAGGCCATTCATTGCAACGAAGCTGCAAGATTGGTAGGACATACTCTTACTTTTCTTTGGAAGAAAGAGGAGAGAGAGAGAGAGAGAGTTAAAAGGAACACCTCCACAAAGGCATGGTCCAGCGAGATGAAGATTTAAAGTGTGGCGGGCACTTCCTCATCATGGATACTGGCCATGGCAAGACCGTGACTGCTCTCGTTTATGCCTTCAGGCATTCAACCGGTGAGCGGGGCGACACCGGGCAAGCTTAATCGTTGGGACTGACGTACCACAGACCATTGTGTGAAAATCATAGATTTCGATTTCATTTACGGGTGCCACACCCATTCTTCAGCAAAACATATTTATTGGTCCAGCCAGGTGGCTTTGCCAGCATGGCCAGAACGTGAAGCGTCTGGTGTGGATCACCCCACATGGCACTGTGGAGAATTTGGTCAAGCAGCTGCGTGCCCTGAATGCTGATGCTCCTGTAGTGAAGGGAAGTTGGAATGTTGCACTCAAAGTCATACCAGTGAGATCTTTTGAGCTTGTGAAGCTTTTGGGTTGGGTCTTTAGACAAGACTTGCGGGGCGCACCAGCAACCCTAATTTACCTTCCAGCAATATGAGTTGCCGCAAGATTGTCTTGAACCCACCATTTAGAGGACAAGCAATACAATTAACACTATCTTGCGAATGCAAGCATGGTAGTAGAACATGGCCTTGAGAAGACGGTGTTCCTTCACAAACAGAAGAGTCTCCAGTTCCATATCACATTTCTAGAGCCTGGTGGGTCAGCTTTCCCGAAAAACTAGAGTACTTCTTCAGCTCAAATTTAGGAGACACTTGGCGTGTCAAGACCCACGTGGTCCCGCGGATCTCTTCGGCCAAGAAGCCCAAAAGTGGTGAGCGATACGACTTGGTTCTCAAGGACTTTATGGTGTGCCTTGGAGATACTGCTGGATGGTGGTGCCGGACAAGTTGGTGGTAGGAGTAGTTGAAAGGATGGGATTGATGCAATCGGCTTCGGAGAGGGTGGGGTTTGGAAGGGGAAGTTTAACAAAGACTTTGCCATTGTTGATAGATAGATTCCCATTTCCAGTGAGGAATGTGATCCATGCAGACCACTTGAGAGCTGCTATTGACAAGGGGCTGGCTGCAGAGGAGAGGGGCAAAATGACGCTGTCGAAAAAGCATATTGAATTTTCTAGACCGCAGAGGCACCCAGTACTGATGAGTTATAGCGCTAGCCGCCAGCAGCAACATTTTCGCTAGCCGCTAGCCGCTGGTTCGCATCAAGTCTTTCGGCGCCAGGCCACGTCGTCCTTCTTCGTCTTTGACGAGGTGGATGAGATGTATGCACCAACCTTGCGGACTTCGGCCGCCCGGCGCCTGTGCCAGCTTTGCCCCAAGTTCGTGGCGCAGACCGCCACACCGTTGCGGAAGAATGAGTCGCAGCTCTTGGCATGGTTGGCAGACCTTTGGCAACAGAAAGGAGGGCCATTTATACTTTCAACATGATTTTTGTCCTGGTGGGTAGTCAAGGCAGGAAGGAAGGACGGACGGACAGACGGACGGAAGGACACAAGGACACAACAAAGGAGCTTGCAATGCATTCCGTTGTGTGGTGTGTGGCTGCTTTTCTGTGTCTTTGATGTGTTTTATTGTTTGTCGTTGAATCGATTCCAACCTAGCGCACTCTTTGGGGCAACGCGACGTGAGGGGGTAAAAAATAGAGAGGGGAGGACCTAGTCATTCTTTCGGGGGAGGCGCTGCGCGCTCCCCCGGACCCCCCTCCCGCGCCATGAAATCTGCAACCTCTCCGATGTCCTGCCCGCGACGAAATCTGACTTTGCAGACCACAGCCTGCACGAGTTTTCTTTCTTGTAACAAGAAGCTACTAGGAACAAAGGGCATCGCTACTAGGACTAGGAGCA